AGGCTACTTGATAGACTAAATAATCTGATATATTTTTTCTAAAGCAGGTTAAATTATTTCTATGCTCTTGTGTATTATAAATAATTTGGTGTATGAATAAATATTTTTGTATATTGTTATCATGAGCTTAGCACTTTACAGCAAAGGTTGCCTCCTCACAAAATGGTCAACATTATTAAACCCTGTTATTAAGAAGATGATGGTAAGAGTTATGCATCAAAATTAAAAGTGCAGATTACTTATCTTCTTGTAATTTTTTCCTTTGATGGAAAGAGATATATTTTTAGTCTGAGGGAAGCAAAGCAGTCTTCCTCTCTTTTCCTTCCTCTTGAAATGCTACCTCCATCTACCGCTATTCGAAGTGGGTGGCCCTGTTTTCATTTGATCGGTTTATTAGAATTCTTTAGCAATAATCTCTAGACGTGAGCGTAGGGCTAATTATTTTATTTTCCCAGTTCTATGTTCTTTCTTTACTTCTGAACTGTTTATTTGGGATACCTATCTCAAACCATGTGTAGGACACAAAGCCCTTATAGATATTTAATTTTTATTTCTGCAGAATTAGGTAAATTAATTTTTTTAAAGAAAAGCACCACGTCGCCAATTAAAAAATTTAGTTGGCAACTCACCATCAAATATGTCAACCATTCTGAAGAAAGCTAGAGACAGAGATGACTTCCCACTGCCAGTGCGACCGCATATGCCCACCTAAAAAAGCAACTGTCACTCAAAGAGAAGAGGACTCAGACAAAGGACAGAAAACGGGCAAAAGTATTTTTCACTTAAACAAGAAATTTTAATAAAACTCCAATTATATTTATTAATAAATGGTTACATCACAATCATCATTTTCTTCTTAGAGCTCCCTTATGAATTATCAATATTAAGATAAAAACATAAAGTCCTCGCCAAATCTTTAATGATTCCATTCTAATTCTTTTATTTCCATGTTGAGTTTTTTTTTCCTTCATGGCTTAATTTTTACATTTAGTACATTGTTGGACTAATAAATAACTATTTCATTTATATCAGAAGTGATGGTTTTATAACAAAAAGTAGAAAGAGATGATTTTTTTCTGCATACTTACTCTTTTTACAATAGCTAAAAGAAGTCATTTTGGGAGTAGAGCTATTACGAATGCAAAGGTTCTCTAGGGAATGTCTAGTATGGCCATGAGTCAGAAGCCAGAAGCCAGAAATTAAAACAACAATAACAGCAACAGCAACACATGCCTATTGTTGACTTTTTTGATCTTTAAGGGAGACTAATGTATGGCAATATGACTTACAGAATATATATCATACTCTGATCTTGCCTTTCCCTTTTTTTTTATGCAGATAATTTGACCCATGCTGGGTAGGAAATATTATGTGAGCCCAGGGAGAACATACTTACTTGGGTGGGATGTCCAAAGAGCTTAGGTGGTAAAGACATGAGCTCCATTGGAGTTTTTATATATAAAACAAATCAAACGGCAGTGAATTCCATACCTTTTGCCCAGGTTTGATGTAAGCTTTGACATGTTTAAGAACAGGTTTCAGATTATTTTCATATCTGACACACAGATCATGAATCTTGATCTCCCCTT